CCAAACGTCAGCCTCGAAACCTTAATGACTTGGAGAAGATCTGCAAAGAGGAGTGGAACAAAATCCCTCCTGAGATGTGTGCAAACCTGGTGGCCAACTACAAGAAACGTCTGACCTCTGTGATTGCCAACAAGGGTTTTGCTAAGTCATGTTTTTCAGAGGGGTCAAATACTTATTTCCCTCATTAAAATGCAAATCAATTTATAACATTTTGACATGCGTTTTTCTGGATTTTGTTGTTGTTATTCTGTCTCTTACTGTTCAAATAAACCTACCATTCAAATGATAGACTGATCATGTCTTTGTCAGTGGGCAAACGTACAAATTCAGCAGGGGATCAAATACTCTTTTCCCTCACTGTATGACTTCACTTGAACATACTATACAGAACACAATGTCATCTTCATCTACACAAGTGACTTACTTACTTGATTACGACAAATACCCAGTATGACCCTTAGAGAATCGGAATATAAATAGAATTGAGTGGGCAGGCTTTAAAAAAAAAATTAACAGATGGTTTTTGATGCACTAGGTGACAGCTTAGAAAGGTATAGCATCCCAAAGCATGACATATATCTGGCTCATGTGACTAGTTTGTTTCCATGCCAGGAAGACCTAGGAAGTGATGCCTGATTGATCACTGATCCCTGCCAGGCTGCCAGGCTGTCATTGACATAGTATTGTCTATTGGTTTCCTCAAGTGTCCTTGCTGTCAGTGCTACATGGGGAAAATGTGTTATGATGCTAAATTAGCAGATGTGACACATCACGTCATTCCATTACCTGATTGTAACCCCTGGGTGTGTTTTCCCCTTGGTGATATGGCTGTGCTCAAGACTGATTGATTTGGGTTCCACCTCCGTGAACACAGGGTCTCTACTTGGACATGATGTCCTTGAAGAGTTACTCGTCAATTGACACAGGTTCTGTAATTATATATAATACAATTAAATGTATTATAAAAGTAAGGATTATATTTGCACAGAACATAGTATTTCCACTTAATTTTTGTTTATGGGTTCATATTATTATGTATCTTTATTGTAAGTGTTTAGATTTGGATATTTGAATAAAAATAATTATGGCAAGATTAATGATTTATATATATATATATATATATACAGTACCAGTCAAAAGTACCACACCTACTCATTCAAGAGTTTTTCTTTATTTTTACTATTTTCTACATTGTATAATAACAGTGAAGACATCAAAACTATGAAATAACACATATGGAATCATGTAGTAAACAAAAAAAAGGGGGGGGGGGGGGGGGGGGGGGGGGGGGGGGGGGGTATACAGAAGATAGCCCTATTTGCTAAAAGACCAAATCCATATTATGTCAAGAACAGCTCAAATAAGCAAAGAGAAATGACAATCCATCATTACTTTAAGACATAAAGGTCAGTCAATACAGAAAATGTCAAGAACTTTGAAAGTTTCTTCAAGTAGAGTCGCAAAAACCATCAAGCGCTATGATGAAACTGGCTCTCATGAGGACCGCCACAGGAATGGAAGACCCAGAGTTACCTCTGCTGCAGAGGCTAAGTTCATTAGAGTTACCAGCCAAATAAATTGCATCCCAAATAAATGCTTCACAGAGTTCAAGTAATAGACACATCTCAACATCAACTGTTCAGAGGGGACTGTGTGAATCAGGCCTTCATGATCGAATTGCTGCAAAGAAACCACTACACTAAAGGACACCAATAAGAAGAAGAGACCTGCTCGGGCCAAGAAACACGAACAATGGACATTAGACTGGTGGAAATGTGTCCTTTGGTCTGGAGTCCAAATTTGAGATTTTTGGTTCAAACCGCCGTGTCTTTGTGAGACACGGTGTGGGTGAACGGTTGATCTCCGCATGTGTAGTTCCCACCGTAAAGCATGGAGGAGGAGGTGTTATGTTGTGGGGGTGGCTTTGCTGGTGACACTGTCTGTTATTTATTTAGAATTCAAGGCACACTTAACCAGCATGGCTACCACAGCATTCTGCAGCGATACGCCATTTGGGCTTAGTGGGACTATCAATTGTTTTTCAACAGGACAATGACCCAACACACATCCAGGCTGTGTAAGGGCTATTTTACCAAGAAGGAGAGTGATGGAGTGCTGCATCAGATGACCTGGCCTCCACAATCCCCCAACTGGTACTGTATATATATACAGTGGGGGGAAAAAGTATTTAGTCAGCCACCAATTGTGCCAGTTCTCCCACTTAAAAAGATGAGAGAGGCCTGTAATTTTCATCATAGGTACACGTCAACTATGACAGACAAAATGAGGAAAAAAAATCCAGAAAATCACATTGTAGGATTTTTTATGAATTTATTTGCAAATTATGGTGGAAAATAAGTATTTGGTCACCTACAAACAAGCAAGATTTCTGGCTCTCACAGACCTGTAACTTCTTCTTTAAGATGCTCCTCTGTCCTCCACTCGTTACCTGTATTAATGGCACCTGTTTGAACTTGTTATCAGTATAAAAGACACCTGTCCACAACCTCAAACAGTCACACTCCAAACTCATCTATGGCCAAGACCAAAGAGCTGTCAAAGGACACCAGAAACAAAATTGTAGACCTGCACCAGGCTGGGAAGACTGAATCTGCAATAGGTAAGCAGCTTGGTTTGAAGAAATCAACTGTGGGAGCAATTATTAGGAAATGGAAGACATACAAGACCACTGATAATCTCCCTCGATCTGGGGCTCCACGCAAGATCTCACCCCGTGGGGTCAAAAGGATCACAAGAACGGTGAGCAAAAATCCCAGAACCACGCGGGGGGACCTAGTGAATGACCTGCAGAGAGCTGGGACCAAAGTAACAAAGCCTACCATCAGTAACACACTACGCCGCCAGGGACTCAAATCCTGCAGTGCCAGACGTGTCCCCCTGCTTAAGCCAGTACATGTCCAGGCCCGTCTGAAGTTTGCTAGAGTGCATTTGGATGATCCAGAAGAGGAGAGGATTGGGAGAATGTCATATGGTCAGATGAAACCAAAATATAACTTTTTGGTAAAAACTCAACTCGTCGTGTTTGGAGGACAAAGAATGCTGAGTTGCATCCAAAGAACACCATACCTACTGTGAAGCATGGGGGTGGAAACATCATGCTTTGGGGCTGTTTTTCTGCAAAGGGACCAGGACGACTGATCCGTGTAAAGGAAAGAATGAATGGGGCCATGTATCGTGAGATTTTGAGTGAAAACCTCCTTCCATCAGCAAGGGCATTGAAGATGAAACGTGGCTGGGTCTTTCAGCATGACAATGATCCCAAACACACCGACCGGGCAACGAAGGAGTGGCTTCGTAAGAAGCATTTCAAGGTCCTGGAGTGGCCTAGCCAGTCTCCAGATCTCAACCCCATAGAAAATCTTTGGAGGGAGTTGAAAGTCCGTGTTGCCCAGCGACAGCCCCAAAACATCACTGCTCTAGAGGAGATCTGCATGGAGGAATGGGCCAAAATACCAGCAACAGTGTGTGAAAACCTTGTGAAGACTTACAGAAAACATTTGACCTGTGTCATTGCCAACAAAGGGTATATAACAAAGTATTGAGAAACTTTTGTTATTGACCAAATACTTATTTTCCACCATAATTTGCAAATAAATTCATTAAAAATCCTACAATGTGATTTTCTGGATTTTTTTTCCTTATTTTGTCTGTCATAGTTGACGTGTACCTATGATGAAAATTACAGGCCTCTCTCATCTTTTTAAGTGGGAGAACTTGCACAATTGGTGGCTGACTAAATACTTTTTTCCCCCACTGTATACTGTATATATACTGAGCATACCAAACACTAGGAACACCTTCCTAAAATTGAGTTGCACCCCCCCCCCCCCCACCCCACCTCCCCTTTTGCCATCAGAACAGCCTCAGTTCGTCGGGGCATGGACTCTACAAGGTGTCGAAAGCGTTCAACAGGGATGCTGGATGCTGGCCCATGTTGACTCCAATGCTTCCCACAGTTGTGTCAAGTTGGCTGGATGTCCTTTGGGTGGTGGACCATTCTTGATAAATACAGGAAAGCGTGAAAAACCCAGCAGCGTTGCAGTTCTTGACACAAACCGGTGCTCCTGCCACCTTCTACCATACCCCATTCACCCTCTGAATGGCACACATAAACAATCCATGTCTCAATTGTCTCAAGGCTTAAAAATCCTTATTTAACCTGTCTCCTCCCCTTCATCTACACTGATTTAAGTGGATTTAACAAGTGACATCAATAAGGGATCATAGCTTTCACCTGGATTCACCTGGTCAGTCTATATCATGTAAAGAGCAGGTGTTCTTAACGTTTTGTATACTCAGTGTATATATCCACACTATGATGTTGGAATAATACTGTGAAATTGTGAAGATTATGATAATGCCCTTTTAGTGTAAAAGTTCTTTGAAAAGACCGCCTGAAATTTCAGCCTGTTGTGGTGGGATGGAGTTTTGGCCTGCCTGGTGACATCACCAGGCGATAAATTAGTTAATATATCAATAAGAAAGAGAGTTCCAAAACTCTCTGCCAATAACAGCTAGTTTACAGTTTTCCCCTCCTCACTCAGACCACTCCCAGACAGTCCTCTCAAAATTCTTGCTTGATAAATTGTTCTTTGCTAAGAAAGCTTTTTGTTTCTTTTTGACAATTTTAAGTGAAAACAACCACAGTAAGGTACTTAATTGTTAGCCAGAAATGATTTGGTATTGAGCTAGAAAGGGCTGCATTGGACCTTTAAAACGTTTCTGCCCAAAATGTGCAATGTACAGACTACAGATTTTGGGCCAGTTTTACTAACAGTTTGCACCTGTAATTTTTAGGAGAGTGAAAATAAATCTCACTCTTAGGCTACTCTTTAACCATAATATCTTGTTCCTCTCCTTTTTTATCACTTTGAAAATCCTGCCCTTGATGTGTAAGTACAAAGTGAAGAATATAGACAATACATTGTCACCATTTTCTGTTAACAATCAAAAACATCAGCAATTGACAGACAACATAATTTCTTGTCAGGGGATTTATTAGCATGACCAGAGGAAGGACGATACAGGTTATAAAACATGAAATGAAACAGGGGGGTCATTCTGGATGAGTTGCATTCTCTCTTGACTGCAGGGACATAAGACACTGGGACTCTGTGGCTGAGTAGAGGAGCCCTACTCTCGTCTGCCTCGGCCATTCTTCAGCCAGGACACAAACTCCTTGGCTGCCTGGTCCTGCAGGTAGGAGCTCACGTCGCTCGTGTAGGTACCCTCTGCATGCCGTTTGATGGGACCACTGAAAACACATGGAGAGATTTTATAGTGTTGATAATAAGCAAATTGATTCACTGTGCATTGTTAAGCTGATGTAGTAAGGTTTTACTGAGCTGTAACATATATACAACCAAGATAATCACCAACATGCAGTAAATATATCCAGTATGTCATAAAAGTGTAGCAAAAGCTTATCTTCGGTTATAGCTCAGCAAAAACATTTGACATTTCACTCGACATCTCTTATTATAACTACTGCATTCATACAGTTTCAGTTTTAGCTGTCTCATATTGGAAGATGATCCACTGCATTGTGAATGGAATGAGGAAGACTGACACCAGTAGGGAAGAAGAAAGAGACACTCACCCACTTCTCTTGGAGTTCATCAGCCACTGGACAAAGTCTTGTGCTCGTCTCGACTCGAGATATTTACTGTAGTCGTTAGAGAATGTTCCCTCTGAATGTCTCTTCATGTTTGAAAGCTCCCTTGGCTCACTAAACATAGAGTCCTCTGTCAATAGGCTGCAAAAAGACAAGTCAGCAGTTACAGGATGCTGATTCACAGAGAGATAGAGAGAGAGAAAGCCTTAACCTGAATGGTGCAGAGTTAAGAAGTTGCTCCGAGTTCAAGGCTCTTACCTAGAGTTGTCCTCTGTGTCCTCCTGTGGGATCTGCCAGCTGCTCTGAACAATGATCAAGAGCAGAAGTCCAGCGAAAGAGTGGGTGCCTTTCATCTTTTGACCTCCTAGACATTAGCAGAGAAAAGAGGACAAGTTGTTTAAAATGTCAGCAATTTCAGCCAAACAGCATCACAATAGAAGATAATATAATTCAGAGAAAATTCCTAATGGGAAATATTTCAGCGGTTGAAAATGAGTATTAGGGGTTTGGTGCTGCTCACCTGTGTTCCCTCTGTTGAGTGTCGGTGAGAAAGGGGGAGTCTGTGCCTGGCTGCCTGCTGTGCGTTGGTAGATGTCTTCTGGCTTCTCTCTCTCTGTTTCCCTGGAGTTGCTTCATGGTCCCTTCTAGGTCTGGCCAGCCTTTATATAGTTGAGATGAGTGACTGTGTACTCAGGTGGCACCCTCCTCACAGACACAGCAGCACGTTCGTTACTCTCAATCCATTAGTCAGAACTCGACTCAATGCACTGGATACATTTGCAGTCCATCTTTGTTTAAAAGGAGATGTGGAAATGTCCAGAGGTAAAAGCTGTCACTTAGGTGTCGAAATCAAACATGATTTCATCCTGTCCAACAAATCCAAATACTTATATAACCGTCTACCATCTGTGTTCAGATAACCTGGTTTGCACTGCAGGGTCAGTGTTTGTGGAAGAGAATATGAAGTTAAAATGTAAAACACCTCTTTCCAGCATATAATAATATACCATTTAGCAGACGCTTTTATCCAAAGCGACTTACAGTCATGCGTGCATACATATATATATATATTTTTCTTTTGTGTATGGGTGGTCCCGGGGATCGAACCCACTACCTTGGCGTTACAAGCGCCGTGCTCTACCAGCTGAGCTACAGAGGACCACATATAACTAAGTACCTAAGTAGAATTTAGTGAATTATCTGCTTTTTAGGTGATTAAGGCACAAATACAACGTTCTTCAGTTTTATATTCAGTTGTTTATTTGTTCAATACTCTTATGATCATATGCAAAACACACAGTCTGTATCAATAATATGTCCAGACTGAACAATCATATACCATAAGATCTTTTCACAATTTTCTAATAAGCCTACATATACACAATTTCCCTTTTTTTAACCTAATAAACATGATACGGTAGTGTATCAAACATGCTAGATAGATAACCAATTCCAAAATGTCTGTCAATATATGTTTTAACTTCATAGAGTTGTTTCTTTTGAACACATGTAAGGACAATTAACAGTTTCAAACCAGAAAATGGTTATAACCATTTTTAAATTCCTATACAGTTTACTTATATTTCACATACAATGTAAAATAAAACCAAGATTTGAACATTACACAACAAATTCAGTGCAGTAACAATTTTAACCAATATTACTGAAGTCATTGATATAAAATACCATTATACCAACATGCAATGGCTTTGAGTACATAGTGGTGGTCACATTTTTTCTTTGATCAGCACAATCATTTCATATCAAATACAAATAGTCAATACAAGCAACAAAATATTAATTACAGTATATAACTTATAAAAAAACTACAGACTTCAAAAGCATGGAATCCTCAGTCCAGAATATTAATAAGAACATAATTAAAGAAAAACTGTCAACATTTTTATTGTAGCAATATACTGTATAAATGCTGTCATACGGATACAATGAGAAGGCATCAAACTTCGTAAGGGGTTATTAGATCAACTTGGGTTTGACAAGACATTTCTGTAAGAATTGACTCATGTGGGTGTAGAGGTGATGGTAGGCAGATCCTCCAAGTCCGTGATCCCTGTCAGTGTACCACTGAAAATAATACAAAAAGACACAATTGCTATTATTCTAGATAAGGTGTAAGACATAGGTTAGACTCCAGGCTTCGCTCACAGGTGAAAGTCTGTAGCAGAGTCTAGATATAGCTCATAGATAGGTCATATATAGGTCCTATATCATAAATTATATCATAGATACGTATAAGATAGGTCAGTGTAGGACATCTAAAATGTCTTATAGACTGTAAAATGTGTGTAATTAAAGTTGTAACATACAGTACTAACTCCCCAAAATATCCTTGCACGTACTGTACTTAGCCCTGGGACTATCAGTTAAGGGCTTTATCAAACATGTAGATCAGAACCGATGAAGAGTATAAGACACTCCTCAGTCAAACTCCAAGTGCAACACGTCATCCCCACCGCCCCTCTCTGGTAGTCCTCCCCAAAACCAATATTTACCATCGCCTCAAAGTCAACTTGCTGGTCAACCAGGGCTTTGGAGATCTGTGCAGATTGCTGGAAGTGAACATTGTCTACAGGAAAAACAAACTGTTTGTAATACCTGCTTGAACAAGGAAGCATATGCATCAGTCAAAATACGATTAATCCTATTTTGCACAAGATCAGGAGCCTCTTAATGGCTATACTGATTACTGTATTCTATAGATTACACATTAAGAATACAACATTGTGTATGAGCGTGTGGTTGTTTAGAATGTAAAATACAGTATTTCACTGAAACAGAAACACATACCATCAGCTGTCCCATGAATGAGGAGATAGTCCACTGATTTGAAATTCTTTGCTCTACTTGTTACTGTGGAATTCTGATGAATAGAAAGTTGTCTGTATGTGGACACAGTTATGGTTGACATACAACAGATTATGTGATGACTATCCAAATAAAGAGGGACCATGCTTTGTGATGTTTCCGATGTCTTTACCATAGAAATAGAATTAATAGAACTGGCGTGGAAGCTCTAACCTGGCAATTTGACTGGTAAACTCATGGGTACACTCACAATGGCTGCCTGGTATTGTGATGCATTAATTTCCATGGTAATTTGGAATGTTCTATCAACTGATACTCGAGGTCGATATTCACATAGTAATAAGGAATTACCCTCGACCACGCCCACAAATTGGGAAAAACAAACATTCTTTCCCATTGACCCCCAGTGTAAAAAATCCCGACCTACGGTTCGCAATGCTCCCACGTAGGGAAATAGAGCCTGCGAGAAGAGCACTGTGGCTTCAGGCTATTCGGCATGGGAGAGTGGGAACCTGGGCCCAGATTCACAAAACCTTCTTAAATAGAAATGTCTTCTTAACTGCCATTTTTTTCTTAACTATCAACTTAAGAAGAAAGTTAAGCAAAGTTGCTATTCCTCAAAAAGGTTCTTGTTTCTCCTTAAGCAAAAATTTCAGAATAAATTAGATTCTTGAAAATAAGGTTTTTGGAAATGTTCTTAATTCCAAGATAGCTAAACCCTTAAACTCAGGGCAGTGAGAGAATAAACTCATGAAAGCAATTGAACATGTTTAATTCACTCACAAATTCATCTGAAAGTTTCAGTATTGATTATTTTAAACCCAAGAACATGTTTTAGAACAGTCATCTCATGATTGCCATTGCTAGCTAGATAGCTAGCTAAATCGTTTGCCTAGCAACACACATCTTAAAAAGATTAGTAAGAAGCTATTTGAGAAGTTCATAAGAAAATCATTAAATCTTAAGATATTGTTGAGGAATTGCACCTACAAACTATCTTATGAACTTCTTATTATTTTCCTTAAGATGGTTCTTAAGTTTTTGTGTAAGAAGTGTTTTGTGAATCTGGGCCCTGGTGTCCAAGTAGGCTACACATAGCTATGTGTGGAAAACATTTAATCACAGGTAAGACATTTAACTTGTTTAGTATAGTTTGTTTGTAACGCCACTCACTACTTGTAGCTGTATAGTCCATTTGTTTGTGTTGTTAGTCTTGGCTAGCTTAATGTTCTGGTCGGTAGATAACTAGCACTCAGTCACGTGGCTGATAGAGCCATCATGTAAAGGGGCATAAGGGAAGCCCTACAATATTACATTTTTCTAAATAGTGAGAATGCCCGGGAGCAGGCAATGTTGAAAAGTAATCTTTAGACATGTTTTACTTTCTTAAATGTAGTTTTGTAATTTGACTAAAACAAACAGACAACAAGAAAATTGCATTAGAAAAAGTCAAGTTTTTGCTGTGAGCCAATGTGGTAATCTAGGTAACCACAGGTTATTTTATTTTCCCCACAGGTGGGCAGGGCCGCGACATTCTATCTAATACGGACTGGGACTATGCTGAATTGCCATGGTAATGCACAATGTTCATTTAAATTATACTAACTGTTGTGGCTCATGCAATGAATGCATTTATTGTAATGGCAGTTGAGTAGACTCAACAAATCACAGCACAAATTGAAGGGTACACTTCCTGCATGGGTCTAGGTTGAAGATGGGAAGGTTAAGACAACGTAATAATTCCATGCGGAAGCGTTCGAAAATAACCTGTATATTTTGAACCTAGCATGGGTCTAGGTTGAAGATGACAAAGGTTAAGACAACGGGATTCTAATGTCTCATAACTCTTTGCAACAATGGGTTGCTATGCTAGTTAGTAAGGGAGCTGGTAGATAGCAACAATGCTGGTCCCAGATTTGTGACGACATTGTCTTAATCTGTATATTTTTGACCTAGGCGTGGGTACACTCAAAATGGCTGCCAGTCCACCCATTATGCCATCATTGACTTGAATGGGGATGTCCGTTCTATTCATTCTATTTCTGTGGTCTTTACCTTGTAAGAGTCAGCATTCTCCTCCGGTTTACTCATATAGCGTTCAGTATACACCGAGTCTGGAAAAGGAATATCCAGATAGTGACTGAACTCATATAGGATGAAACAAACACTGGCTTTTGAAGTTTATGCATGACTAAATCTCAATTCTTACTATTTGACCTCTTCTACGATTATACGCACTGATACATACCATAATATTCCCACTTAGCTACTGGGGCAACTGCTATTCCACACTTGAAAACTCCACTTCCAGCACCCAAAGCCATCGACGTGACATAGCCACCATATGACTGAAAAACAGATTATTTCAAACCACATCAGTTATAGTTTAATTCAACAAATACTGTGTATTTACAACAACAGATTTATAAGAAATATTGTCAAAATCAAAGAGAATGTCCAACTTACCCAACCCCATATGGCTATACGTTCTTTGTCTATAAAGCCCATGTCAATAAATTTTCTAGTGACAAAAAAACAACATCTTTATTTGATCTGCTCTAGCTATATGTCATTAAAGTGTTGATCTCATCACAATCAAAAACTGACAGGAGCAGATTCAATTGATGAGACCTTTTTCAAGAACAACAGATAGCCCACTTTGGGATACTCCCAATTCGCATTCATTATCAGATATGAATACATTACGTCTTGTATTATTATTATTATTATTATTATTATTATTTGTACATATTGTTAAACAGATGTTATACTTTACACACTGAGGTCTCTGTACTTCAATGGTACTTTACCTTACGGCCGTTATTTGATCTTCCACTTCAAATGTTCCAAGACGTTGGTAGATAGAGTGCATTATTTTGTCACCTTGGTAACCGCTTCCCCTTCCATCGAAACTGGCCACTATGATCCCCTCCGTACTGGAGAGGTACGAACCCCAGTTCAGTCTGTAGCGATAATCTGATTTCTGACTACAGGGGCCACCATATCTGTAAGGTAAATCAGTATATCAACTTGACACAGTCACAGCTGACATAAAATGGCAGGGCTAATTAATACTCTGCAAATCCTCTTTAAAGATACTTAAGCCTATATACTTACACATCAATTAGAAGAGGGTACTTTTTGTTTTTTTGGAAATTGGGGGGTAACATCATCTGATACCATAGATCTGTTGGCAAAAGGTAGTGAAACATGAGGCAATTAGAAATACAGATGTAGGATCTTAATTTGATCACCCTGTTGCAGGAGAACTTTCCTGCAATGCAGGAAATTTAGAAATTGTAGTGTATTTGAGGTTTAAAAAGGCTTCTGAAGTTTGTAATTTACACTTTGAAATTTCAGACTTGATTTTCCCTTACAAAAAATGTTTCAACCCCTACACAAATGTCCATGAATTATAATCCATAAACGGGCCCAAATCCCCGTCATTTGAGTGAAGAAAAGACAGAGAAAAGGGGGGCGGGGTCGGGCTGCCTTCTGAGAATTCGTAGGCGAGTGAGTAAACTTCCACTACCATCCGTTCTATTGGCCAACATGCAATCATTGGAAAACAAAATGGATGATCTACGATCAAGAATATCATACCAACGGGACATTAAAAACTGTAATATCTTATGTTTCACTGAGTCATGGCTGAACGACGACACAAATAATATAGAGCTGGCAGGATTTTCCATGCATCGGCAGGACAGAGAAGCTACGTCTGGTAAGACGAGGGGCAGGGGTGTGTGTCTACTTGTCAATAACAGCTGATGCGTGATGTCTAATATTAAATAAGTCTCAAAGTATTGCTCGCCTGAGGTAGAGTACCTTATGATAAGCTATAGACCACACTATCTACCAAGAGAGTTCTCATCTATATTATTCGTAGCCATCTATTTACCACCACAAACCAATGCTGGCACTAAGACCGCACTCAACGAGCTACAGTGAGGGAAAAAATGCCAGGGACAAGATTGTAGACCTACACAAGGCTGGAATGGGCTACAAGACCATCGCCAAGCAGCTTGGTGAGAAGGTGACAACAGTTGGTGCGATTATTCGCAAATGGAAGAAACACAAAAGAACAAGTCAATCTCCCTTGGCCTGGGGCTCCATGCAAGATCTCACCTCGTGGAGTTGCAATGATCATGAGAACGGTGAGGAATCAGCCCAGAACTACACGGGAGGATCTTGTCAAGGATCTCAAGGCAGCTGGGACCATAGTCACCAAGAAAACAGTTGGTAACACACTACGCCGTGAAGGACTGAAATCCTGCAGCGCCCGCAAGGTCCCCCTGCTCAAGAAAGCACATATACAGGCCTGTCTGAAGTTTGCCAATGAACATCTGAATGATTCAGAGGAGAACTGGGTGAAAGTGTTGTGGTCAGATGAGACCAAAATCGAGCTCTTTGGCATCAACTCAACTCGCCGTGTATGGAGGAGGAGGAATGTTGCCTATGACCCCAAGAACACCATCCCCACCGTCAAACATGGAGGTGGAAACATTATGCTTTGGGGGTGTTTTTCTGCTAAGGGGACAGGACAACTTCACCGCATCAAAGGGACGATGAACGGGGCCATGTACAGTCAAATCTTGGGTGAGAACCTCCTTCCCTCAGCCAGGGCATTGAACATGGGTCGTGGATGGGTATTCCAGCATGACAGTGACCCAAAACACATGGCCAAGGCAACAAAGGAGTGGCTCAAGAAGAAGCACATTAAGGTCCTGGAGTGGCCTAGCCAGTCTCCAGACCTTAATCCCATAGAAAATCTGTGGAGGGAGCTGAAGGTTTGAGTTGCCAAACGTCAGGCTCGAAACCTTAATAACTTGGAGAAGATCTGCAAAGAGGAGTGGGACAAAATCCCTCCTGAGATGTGTGCAAACCTGGTGGCCAACTACAAGAAACGTCTGACCTCTGTGATTGCCAACAAGGGTTTTGCAACCAAGTACTAAGTCATGTTTTGCAGAGGGGTCAAATACTTATTTCCCTCATTGAAATGCAAATCAATTTATACGATTTTTGACATGCGTTTTTCTGGATTTTTTTGTTGTTATTCTGTCTCTCACTGTTCAAATAAACCTACCAAATGATAGACTGATCATGTCTTTGTCAGTGGGCAAACGTACAAAATCAGCAGGGGATCAAATACTTTTTTCCCTCACTGTATATAAGGCCATAAGCAAACAAGAAAATGCTCATCCAGAAGCGGCGCTCCTAGTGGCCGGGGACTTTAATGCAGGCAAACTTAAATCCATTTTACCAAATTTCTACCAGCATGTCACATGTGCAACTAGAGGAAAAACAACTCTAGACCACCTTTACTCCACACACAGAGACACATACAAAGCTCTCCCTCGCCCTCCATTTGGCAAATCTGACTATAATTCTATCCTCCTGATTCCTGCTTACAAGCAAAAACTAAAGCAGGAAGTACCAGTGACTCGCTCAATATGGAAGTGGTCAGATGACACGGATGCTACGCTACAGGACTCTTTTGCTAGCACAGACTGGAATATTTTCCGGGATTCATCCAATGGCGTTGAGGAGTATACCACCTCAGTCATCGGCTTCATCAATAAGTGCATCGACGACGTCGTCCAGACAGTGACCGTACGTACATATCCCAACCAGAAGCCATGGATTACAGGCAACATCCGCATCGAGCTAAAGGCTAGAGCTGCCGCTTTCAAGGAGCTGGACACTAATCCGGACGCTTATAAGAAATCCCGCTAAGCCCTCAGACGAACCATCAAACAGGCAAAGCTTCAATACAGGATTAAGATTGAATCCTACTACACCGGCTCTGACGCTCGTCGGATGTGGCAGGGCTTGAAAACCATTACGGAATACAAAGGGAAACCCAGCCGTGAGCTGCCCAGTGACGGGAGCCTACCAGACGAGCTAAATGCCTTTTATGCTCGCTTCGAGGCAAGCAACACTGAAGCATGCATGAGAGCACCAGCTGTTCCGGACGACTGTGTGATAACGCTCTCGGTAGCCGATGTGAGCAAGACCTTCAAACAGGTAAACATTCACAAAGCCGCAGGGCCAGATGGATTACCAGTACGTGTACTCAAAGCATGCGCGGACCAACTGACAAGTGTCTTCACTGACATTTTCATCCTCTCCCTGACCGAGTCTGTAATACCTACATGTTTCAAGCAGACCACCATAGTCCCTGTGCCCAAGGAAGCAAAAGTAACCTGCCTAAATGATTACCGCCCAGTAACACTCATGTCGGTAGCGATGATGTGCTTTGAAAGGCAGTTCATGGCTCACATCAACAGCATCATCCCGGATACACTAGACCCACTCCAATTCGCATATCGCCCCAACAGATCCACAGATTATGCAATCTCAATCGCACTCCACACTGACCTTTCCCACCTGGACAAAAGGAACACCTATGTGAGAATGCTGTTCATTGACTACAGCTCAGCGTTCAACACCATAGTGCCTACAAAGGACCCTGGGACTAAACACCTCCCTCTGCAACTGGATCCTGGACTTCCTGACAGGCCGCCCCCAGGTGGTAAGGGTAGGCAACAACAACATGTCTGCCACGCTGATCCTCAACACTAGGGCCCCTCAGCGGTGCGTGCTTAGTCCCCTTCTGTACTCCTTGTTCACCCACGACTGTGTGGCCAAACACATCTCCAACACCATCATTTAGTTTGCTGACGACAGAACAGTGGTAGGCCTGATCACCGACAACGATGAGAAAGCCTATAGGGAGGAGGTCAGAGACCTGGCAGTGTGGTGCCAGGACAACAATCTCTCCCTCAATGTGAGCTGATCGTGGACTACAGGAAAAGGCTGGCTGAACAGGCCCTCATTAACATTGACGGGGCTGTAGTGGAGCGGGTCGAGAGTTTCAAGTTCCTTGGTGTCCACATCACCAACAAGCTATCATGGTCCAAACACACCAAGACAGTCGTGAAGAGAGCACGACAACACCTTTTCCCCCTCAGGAGACTGAAAAGATTTGGCATGGGTCCCCAGAGCCTCAAAAAGTTATACAGCTGAACCATGGAGAATATCCTTACCGGTTGCATCACCGCCTGGTATGGCAACTGCTCGGCATCTGACCATAAGGCGCTACAGAGGGTAGTGCGTACGGCCCAGTACATCACTGGGGCCAAGCTTCCTGCCATCCAGGACATATATACTAGGTGGTTTCAGAGGAAAGCCCAAAAAATTGTCAAAGACTCCAGTCACTCAAGTCATAGACTGTTCTCTCTGCTACCGCACGGCAAGCAGTACCGGAGCGCCAAGTCTACGACCAAAAGGATCCTTAACAGCTTCTACCCCCAAGCCATAAGACTGCTGAACAATTAATCAAATATTTACATTTGTTTTTACACTGCTGCTACCCGCTGTCTATTATCTATGTATAGTCACTTTACCCCTACCTACAGTACATGTACAAATTACCTCGACTAACCTGTACCCCCGCACATTGACTCGGTTCCGGTGCCCCCTGTATATAGCCTCGTTATTGTTATTTTATTGTGTTACTTTTTATTATTTTTTACTTAAGTTAATTTGGTAAATATTTTCTTAACTCTTTCTTGAACTGCATTGTTGGTTAAGGGCTTGTAAGTAAGCATTTCACGGTAAGGTTGTTAATACCTGTTGTATTCGGCGCATGTGACAAATAAAGTTTGATTTGATTTGATTTCAAATTTCCTGTTGCTACAGGATTATTTATCTGATGTAGCAAACTGGCTTAAATTAAGATCCTACATATGTACATTTGATTTTGCATGGCATGATTTGATTGGATCCACCAGTCTCTAAAACTATCACTCACCAAATCCTGCTACCCTCAGGGTCCCACGCTGCATGGTTGGCATTTGGAATTCTTTTAGCATATCTTCAAGATCTTTGTTGTCACGAAGAACCAGGAGCTCTAAAACAAAACAACTTTATCAATTGAAAGTCAAATCAGAAGTTCCCCGTTTACGGTAAAGATTCATGAACCTGTATATTGCTCAGTTACAAAGAGTATCTTCATAGTAGTGGTACTTTTTGCATACCTTCACCTGAGCCTCTATTGTCCCTGAGCGTGAACAACGGTGTTCCAGGTCCTGTAAAGAAACAATCAGCACACACAATACAGTATGACATCACGTAGGCTAATTGTTCACCACATAACCTCAGGTACTAGGTCAGAACTGAGACTGTGTCAACGTCCCAAATGGCACCTTATTCCCTATGGGCCCTGGTCAAAAGTAGTGCACTACATAGGGAATAGGGTGTCATTTGGGACGCCTTCTGTATCACTCATTGATATTCTGCATGGATCATGAATGGGTTAGTGCTCAGGGTGTGAATGGGGAATGGGGTAACTGACCATAGCAGTCCATGCGGTAGAAGGAGGCATCATAGCTGAAGTAGGCTGAGTTGTACTGACACCTGTCCTTATACAGGCCACAGGTGAGGCACTGGGGAGCAGAGTGGCTGCTTCCGATCGTAACCCTGTCAAACAAACAAACAGACACAGGTTCATACGAGTTAACATCTCCGTCTGAATAACGCAAATATTTATGGAAGCAATTGAACATACTTTTATAGTTTATTTTGAATTCAGAATGATTAAGAATTTAGGGAAATCACTTGAAATGAAATATCCATGGGGATCATGAGAAACACATCAAAGACAATGTGGTCATAGTGATAGATAAATAGTAGGTTTACTCTATTTTGTTATTGAATTAAGCTAAATTGATTTCTTACTTGTATAGATTTCTCTGTCCAGGCTTTCCTTGGTACTCATTACTTACATAGTATCTGTGAAAAAGAAAAGATAGTGAAGAAGCATTCTGAAGGAGCAACACACATGACATCGTTTATAATAATAATTTTCTAGTTCTTACATACATACGTCTTGTGCATCTGTACTTACATAGCGTCTTTGGTGAGTTTTGAAATGTAGATTACCTCCCACTTGCCTGCGGTAATGGGTGTTGCCTTGCCCTTTGGAATGATATACACTTTCATAGGTATTGCATTCTGATATTGCTAACATTTACATGCAAGTAAGCATTTTATTGTACTGTGTACACAACGTGTATCTGTGCATAAAGAAAATAAACGTTGATTTGATTTTGATTAAACAATCACCTTGAGGTATAAAATACTCACATCTTTCACATGGTGAATGTGTTTATAACCGTATGTGTCACTCATCACTTTGTAGAAACTGATATGATCCAATGCAAACATAGGTTGGAGGGGAGCATACTGGAAAATTTAAATAATGTATTATCATAAACAAAATATTTCAGAACCTAGATTTAGTTCTCATGTTTCTTTCATTATACAGTATGTGAACTTACTTGGCCAACCCAACCAGTCTTGCTTATTTGTTCATATTTCTAAAATAAAAAAAATTGAAATTTATTAGGCCTATACAGTTACAGAATGCGTCACACAGTAACATTCCTGGTGTTAATGTTGAAAAACACATGATTCTCTGTTCCCTGAGTGCTGTTGTCTACCAATGAGCTCACCCACAGAGTCTGAGGTGAGGTGACAAGTACCTGGTTCTCATTCCAGTTGTTTCCATCAAAGTCATACATCTGTAAAAGGACATGGTTCTGCTTCCTCTTGGTCCACTGAACAGCGATGCGCTCATCCATCACCCAAGTGACTGAACTCAAATAGTGATCACTGGGAGAAAAACAACACAAAGCGACAGGTTTACATCACCCTTTTTACATGTGCATGACTATGACCATACTAGACTTTTTAAACCACTACAAATTTATATTAAAGTATGACATTATACTGTACCCTGCACCAATGGAATCTGGCACCACCACCTGTGACCGTCTTGATGGATTTGTTGTGTCCACTACAAACAGCTTTGCCTTAGGATTAGTTGAGCCAGCCTTGATAGGAGATAACAGGCATAACAAAAACTATCTTCAAAAATCATGAGCATTTTTTAAGGGTACAGTACATATAATTCACATACTTTGTGTATAATCATGGTATATATTTGACCTATTACGTGCTATCTGTGGTATGTCTCTCATTCTTATGACATTCATACCATGCTTTAAAAAAGGCACATATGACAAAATCCCACCTTTGGGTATGGGACAACCACTGTTCTGGGGTATTGTCCATATCCATACAAAGAGTACTCGATCGTGTGGACCTCTGTGTCATTAAACTCAGCATAAGCCAGATACTTTCCAGTTGGTGACCACCATATTGCCTCATTCGATGAGAAAACCTCCTCTGAAAAAAGTGGAAGAAATCAAGTTACCCAAAAGCCTTGTGTGTGATGAAATCCACCTCATCCCTTCCCCCTAAAATGGGTCAATGCTACTCAATACCCACCCTCATATACCCAGTCAGGGGCACCGTTAAGAATCTGATTCTCTTTTCCATTATGGGTCACTTGTATGGCTTCAGCAGTGGCGTTGGGTTTCAAATAAACGTTGTAATTCCAGACGTAAGCCTGGCAGAGAGATCAGCAGTCAAGTTAATGTCAGCATTCCATTGACTTTAGTTTATACCAGATTATTTTGGTTGGTGCAGCAGCTAATCCCACTGTGTTTTGCATCTCTCTGGGCCAACGCCCATACTCGCCATTGGAGAGAGAGCAAATTATGGTGCCAGCAGTTTTCAAAAACTAGCAGAATACTAGTGAGCAGATGAACGATGCAATAGCAATGACATTAAATACACTCCAGACTCTTTTCTCATTATACACTTGTTATAATTACCAAGGGCCTCAGAGAACTCTTAGTCAGGTCGCAAATGTTGTTTTTTCAAATAAAATGTAGGTTATCATCTGATTTATTGTTCTGTTGTTGTTTGAAATTGTCCATGGATAGACTTGACTTTGTATTTTATAGTGTATACACATGACTTTGAACACCCTGTTTAAATCCCAAATGGCACCCTATTCCCTACATAGTACACTACTTCCCTATGGGCCCTGGTCCAAAGTAGCACACTAAATAGGGAATAGGGTGCCATTTAGCACACACTGCCCTAGATAGTGTATCAGACTGGTTTTTAATTACCAGTTTGTTTCCTGTTGGTGCCCAGGAAAAGTACTGCACAACTTGTGGAATGTTCACAGGATTGAGAAATGTTCTGGGAGAAAAAGATGGAAACATCAGGTCTTTAGTGATAGAGGAGTAGTTGAGTCTGGCTTTTCATTATTAGAATTTAACTGAAGACACTATCACTGAGGAAACAGAGATGTACTTACGAACTGTCATATTCATAGATGGAGTAAGAGGCTGTGAATGAATGTCTCCATTGCTGTAAACACATTATACAGTAAATCAGTGTTGTGTATTAAAAAAGACACCCCATGATCAAACTAAAATATAAACAATCATTCAATATACTACCTTGGAGTAGTTGCTCTCAAAGCAGATATATTTCCGATCAGCAGAAATAATATAGTCTGTGGCATCCACTTGTTCCTATGACATAAAAATTTAAAATATAAAATGTCAATACATTATTAGCTTTGAAATATACTACGGGTGATTAAAATACTCTTTGCATGAAAAATATCTTACAAATGTTTTGTTGCTTATATATTCAAAGAAATCCCCTGTTTCAGCATTGTGAAGCATAATGTTGCCTTGTCTCGTTTTATGCACGTATTCGTTATCTATAGGAGAATAAGACAGAAATGTAACTTTTTGAGACATGATCAAAACGCAGTCACTTTAAAATCAAAACAGATAATGACAAGGAATGCATGCATATGCTTTTGGAAGCAATTGAATAAACAAAACAATGAAATACCTGATATCCACCGCAAATTATATATTTTATACCTAATTGTGTCATTGAAATAATCTGCCAGGGTAAAAGGCCTCTTGGGGCCTCCGTCCTCTCCTGAAACATGACAATTTACTTGAATTAGTGACAGATGCATTTTACTTGAATCAACGACTGCATATATTGGTTTGTAGATTATCAAACAATACGCTAGTACTTTCCACAAAAGTGGATATCTTCAACAAATCCTTGGAAATCGTATACTACTACATTCACAAAGGCAATAGCAATCACTTGGTGGCGCCACATGGTTATCACCATATTGTATAGTAGGCCTACTTGAATTTGAAATGTTCACATCGGTGGTTCAATAACTCCCATCCTATCTCATCTTTGGATTGAACGATTCAAGAAATGTAAATCATTCTAGAATAGACCAATTACTGCTCACATTGGAAGTTTCAGTGAAGTGAAACAAGAACACTAAAATCAGAGTTTTGTTGGTTATTTATGACTGACTAAATTGAACTTGGTGAAGTTGTACAATCATCCATTTGAAGGGTCATTCGTCAGCAAATGAGCATCATAAGACACTGTCTACTCAGTGAACACCATAGTGTGCAAATTGTTTACAGAGTGAAAGGAAACCATATCTCATTGAATTAAATGTTGAAATCATACATGAATGATAAAATAAAGAAACTTACTATTCAGATATATAGCCATGGGGACAGTTATTAAAGTGATGACGACAGCCGCCCCCACAACCGCCCAAAGCACCTTGCCGCAGCCCTGTTAAAGGTGAGAGACGAGGGTGACAAAATGTTGCAAAAAGTTCTGTGTGAATGATAAAGTAGCCTATTTTAGTCTTGGAGGAGGACTCACTGGCATTCTATCTATATCTCTTCGGTTTTCATATTGCCTTATTAATATGATTACATATTAAGAAGTCTTCTCATTTAATTAATTTCAAAACAATTAACTTTGCATTTTTATGTATTTCTAATGTGCATTAGTTTTACTGACCATAGTAGCACCGATGATGTATCGACATTCACCGGTGAGTGGACATGCAGCTCTCAACCTGAGGAATCCGTTTCGCTGACGTGGTGTGACAGTCGACTTCTTCGCACTCTCTCTGGATGTCAAATAATTAACATACCGCAGAAAAAAAGTCTGGACTCTCGATTAAACCGTAACTTAAGCAGCAAAAAATAAAGAATGTTACTCCGTCCGTTTTGAATTTAGCTTCCCTTGTACTCCAGGATGCAACCGTAAGGAAGAGTTGGAAATTCTCACTAGTCACAGAGATGCCGCCTCGAAGTCAGCAGCCCACATAACTTTACGATGGCGCCGAATTTGTGAAGATTTAGGAAGTGGCTTTTCCATTCAGCGCATTATCAGTGAACATGGTTAACCTTTGCAATTATATAGAATACATTTTCAATTTGTGGATTTCTATGCATTTTGTGAATAAATAAACATTAATCTGTATATCTGTAAAGTACAAATATTTGTACAGCATCTACACACCATGCAGAAATAATTGAAAGCAAACACACATCAAAGCAGATTCTGCCCCAGTTTATTGTCTCCTCATACACTTTACACATGGCAGGAATTTGTATTTTGGAAATATTCAGAAAGTTATGCATTCAGGATAAGAATTCAACAAAACAATGAAAACAGTAACCAAGGCGCAAAGTTACAAGCATGCAATTTATAATTTTCTTTGATTACTCCCTGAACTATCAAATCACAGTAGCCAGGGTAACACATACCCCTGACATTGACAAAGTGATATTCCAGCAGTAGAGGAAAATCACCAAAAAACACCACCTGTCTACTGTATGTCAGATCTAACGTGAGCATGTGTGCCAACAGGTGCACTGTAGTGAGAAAGTACCACAGGGACCTGGGAAACACGAGGATCCCAAGGGAGAGGAAGTGTGAAGAAGTTCATTATCATCTTTACTTTGATCCATTCCGGTTAGAGAGTTCGGCCAGTAACCGAAAGGTCGCTGGTTCGAATACCCGAGCCGACAACGTGAAAAATCTGTCGATGTGCCCTTGAGCAAGGCACTTAAGCCTAATTTGCTCCAGGGGTGACTTACTACTATGGCTGACCCTGTAAAACAATACATTTGACTGCACCTACAGTTGAAGTCGGAAGTTTACATACACTTAGGTTGGAGTCATTAAAACTCGTTTAAAAATCGTTTTAGCCTCCTGTAGCTCAGTTGGTAGAGCATGGCGCTTGCAACGCCAGGGTTGTGGGTTTGATTCCCATGGGGGGCCAGTATGAAAAATGTATGCACTCACTAACTGTAAGTCGCTCTGGATAAGAGCGTCTGCTAAATGACTAAAATGTTTTTCAACCACTCCACACATTTCTTGTTAACAAACTATAGTTTTGGCAAGTCGGTTAGGACATCTACTTTGTGCATGTAATGTTTCCAACAATTGTTTACAGACAGATTATTTCACTTATAATTCACTGTATCATAAATCCAGTGGGTCAGAAGTTTGGAAAATTCCAGAAAATGATGTCATGGCTTTAGAAGCTTCTGATAGGCTAATTGACATAATTTGAGTCAATTGGAGGTGTACCTGTGGACGTATTTCAAGGCATACCTTCAAACTCAGTGCCTCTTTGCTTGACATCATGGGAAAATCAAAAGAAATCAGCCAAGACATCAGAAAAAAATGGTAGACCTTCACAAGTCTGGTTCATCCTTGGGAGCAATTTCCAAACGCCTGAAGGTACCACGTTCATCTGTACAAACAATAGTACGCAAGTATAAACACCATGGGACCACGCAGCCGTCATACCGCTCAGGAAAGAGATGCGTTCTGTCTCCTAGAGATGAAAGTACTTTGGTGCGAAAAGTGCAAATCAATCCCAGAACAACAGCAAAGGACCTTGTGAAGATGCTGGAGGAAACGGGTACAAAAGTATCTATATCCACAGTAAAACGAGTCCAATATTGACATAACCTGAAAGGCCGCTCAGCAAGGAAGAAGCCACTGCCCCAAAACCGCCATAAAAAAGTCAGTCTACGGTTTGCAACTGCACATGGGGACAAAGATCGTAGTTTTTGGAGAAATGACCTCTGGTCTGATGAAACAAAAATAGAAATGTTTGGCCATAATGACCATCGTTGTGTTTGGAGGAAAAAGGGGGACGCTTGCAAGCCGAAGAACACCATCCCAAACGTGAAGCACGGGGGTGGCAGCATCATGCTGTGGGGGTGCTTTGCTGCAGGAGGGACTGGTGCACTTCACAAAATAGATGGCATCATGAGGAAGGAAAATTATGTGGATATATTGAAGCAACATCTCAAGACATCAGTCAGGAAGTTAAAGCTTGGTCGCAAATGGGTCTTCCAAATGGACAATGACCCCAAGCATACTTCCAAAGTTGTGGCAAAATGGCTTAAGGACAAAAAAGTCAAGGTATTGGAGTGGCCATCACAAAGCCCTGACCTCAATCCTATAGAAAATGTGTGGGCAGAACTGAAAAAGCGTGTGCGAGCAAGGAGGCCTACAAACCTGACTCAGTTACACCAGCTCTGTCAGGAGGAATGGGCCAAAATTCACCCAACTTATTGTGGGAAGCTTGTGGAAGGCTACCCGAAACGTTTGACCCAAGTTAAACAATTTAAAGGCAATGCTATCAAATACTAATTGAGTGTATGTAAACTTCTGACCCACTGGGAATGTGATGAAATAAATAAAAGCTTAAATAAATAATTCTCTCTACTGCTATTCTGACATTTCACATTCTTAAAATAACGTGATGATCCTAACTGACCTAAGACAGGGAATTTCTTCTAGGATTAAATGTCAGGAATTGTGAAAAACTTAGTTTAAATGTATTTGGCTAAGGTGTATGTAACCTTCTGACTTCAACTGTATCTTGGGTATGTGACAATAATTGTGTAATTGTTTTGTTACTGATGGAAGCAAATACAGTGTCTGACACAATAACAGCTCATCTAGGAACACAGATCAAGCACAAAAGATGCAAGCACAATTGGAAGAAACAGAGAACATAGAGCAATTAAATGTTTGCACATCATATTCAACTAGTCATCTTCCTCTCTCAGCTCTCTTCCTGCTAAACCAGTTTTTCCAAGTCAGTGAGTCAGCATGGAAATATCTAGGGCACATAGTTATAAGTAATGGAAACTTTTCTCTATGATCCTTTTTAAAAAATACATTATTCATTTGATTCAACATTTACTGATTGTATTATTCAACTTATTGACACTGACTATGATTAATTTCATTACAATTGGCAACTTGTAAAAAAAAAAAGACACTTGAAACTCCCAATATCATTGCATCATTAACGGACTTCACAATAAAAAATATATTTCGACCACAGATCGAGCATGTTCAGCATAGTCAAAGGCAGGTAACTGGATACCCAGCTCACTCCACTTGTTGATCCTCTTTTCATCATACGTCACCAGGAAGTACCTAAATTCCACGGTAGAGCATCATTGAAGCCCATCTCCGCAGGAAGAGATCAATGTGAGTGGACAACTGGCATTAGCTTTGTAACATGCACTTACAGTAGATATAGATTTAAATGTTTGAATATCTATTCAGGGATTTATTCAAGTTGATCCTGCTCTGAGGTTGCCCCATTGGGCAGGTAAAACAACCAAACAGAAAGAATTCCTGTAGCCTAAAACGGATCATTTTGGTTCCTCCCAATTGTCCCAAGACAGACAATTTATGGCATTTACGGCAGTCGGACAAGTTGAGCCTCCTCTGAGAATTTTCTTACTGATAACAACCAAAATACAAAGAATTCTGATCTTTCTGATTTCTCCCCTATATGTAGGTGAAAGGCAGGAAATATACACTGAGTGTACAAAACATTAGGAACACCTCTTTCCATGACATAGACTGATCAGGTGAATCCAGGTGAAAGATATGATCCCTTATTGATGTCACTTGTTAAATCCACTTCAATCAGTGTAAATGAAGGGGAGGAGACAGGTTAAAGAAATATTTTTAAGCCTTGAAACAATTGAGACATGGATTGTGTATGTATGGCATTCAGAGGGTGAATGTGCAAGACAAAATATTTAAGAGCCTTTGAACGGGGTATGGTAGTAGGTGCCAGGTACAGCGGCTTGAGTGTGTCAAGAACTGCAACGCTGCTGGGTTTTTCATGCTCAACAGTTTCCCGTGTGTATCAAGAATGGTCCACCACCCAAAGGACATCCAGCCAACTTGACACAACTGTGGGAAGCATTGGAGTCAACATGGGCCAGCATCCCTGTGGAATGCTCGACACCTTGTAGAGTCCATGCCCCGACAAATTGAGGCTGTCTGGGGGCAAAAGGGGGTGCAACTCAATATTAGGGATGTGTTCCTAATGTTTTGTACAGTCAGTCTATGGCTTTCCTGCATGTAAAAAGCTAATTTACATTTTCAGGCAAGTGATCATAATCTTCAGGCAACCAAAACATACTCCTGACTTGCTAGATGAGCAAGTGCCTTTCAGACTTTAACGTAAAATGTTGTCTATTATAGGTCAACACCAACATCTTTCTCTCATTACAGAATTAGGACAGGGCATAGGCCTACCTGTCCACAGTCTTTGCATGCTATGAAACCGTCTCGTAGTCCGGTAGCCTCTCAGTAAGTGAGGTGTTTTCTCTTTGAATGAAAAGTTCCCTGCAAAAGAGAAATCAGACATTGTTTCAATAATAACGTAATCTCTTGCTGAGGGGCTAGATTCTGAATCTAGGTATTTTAAATTAAAATATATATTTTAGTTTTCTAATGCTATAACATATGTGTGTATGTCAAAAAGTATTTACCAACAACTGTGTACTGTATATTGCACAGGTTGGGTTACTTTGAGAAGAGAACAGCTGTTTGCTGCAGAACATACTTAAATTGGGGGTTCATGTTGACTGGTTTATTGCAGCTTCTACAGCTGAGCTTCACTTTGGACCGGGTTTTCTTTTTCACGCCTTTCTGCTTTTTCTTGGTTGTTCGCACTCATGACATTCATGATCGCCTGAATCTGGAATTCCTTAATCTAGCAACAAACAATTAAAACACACATTTTTTATTTAACCTTTATTTAACTAGGCAAGTCAGTTAAGACCAAATTCTTATTTACAATGACGGTCTACCCCGGCCGACGCTGGGCCAATTGTGCGCCGCCCCATGGGACTCCCAATCACGGCCGGGTTGTGATACAGCCTGAAATCAAACCAAGGACTGTAGTGACGCCTCTAGCACTGAGATGCAGTGCCTTAGACCGCTGCGCCACTCGGGATCCCAATTAGCGTATACATTTTTTACATTACGGATGTTGACTCAACTAGGTTTGAGAAGTCAATCAAATCTTTAAATGATTTTACTCAATTGCAGGAAAACAATTAATGTAATATCAAGCTGGCAGTTACGATTTGAGAGTGGAGGCTTACCCTTTTTTCATTTTCTGCTTGATCTAATTTCTTGACTTTATCGGTGGCTTTGCTCATCATCTCCTCACGGTACTCTCGTTCAGAGACCCCAGAATCCTCCCCCGCCACTAAAGTGTAATTACTGTTCTCGGCTCTGCCTCTGCCTCGGGCCTAGAAGACATAAAAACAGTAAACATGCTCTCAGTAAACCATGGCAATGGGAGCTTGAAGTGATGCTAACAGTATGATAATGCCGATTGAGTTATACAGTGAATACATTGTCTGTTAACCATTATACAGTGAATACTATTTAGTCGGAAATATCATGTGGTGCATACCAAAGAGTTAGCAGACGATAGAGAATCTTAGTTCATAGTTCTTAGTTAATAATGACACCATGGATATTGACTAATAATAACATGTTTTTGGCAAAGCCAGTTAACCTTTAAAATCGCTGACCGGAATCATAGTGATCTCATTGGTCACAAGCTCATATCGTATCACAAAGTTACATGCTGCCATGTCCAGACCCTCTTCAGCCACTGTTGTTGCAATCAGCAAGTTGACCTCCGCGTTCCGAAACTTGTTCAAAACGTCCCTTTGTTCTGCCTGATAAACACAAATGTGGGCAAAATAATATACTGTAGATTCAATTATTGAATACAATGTACCTAAGCACAACTTTACAGAGCACAGGATGTACAGTGGGGAGAACAAGTATTTGATACACTGACGATTTTGCAGGTTTTCCTACTTACAAAGCATGTAGAGGTCTGTAATTTTTTATCATAGGTACACTTCAAATGTGAGAGACGGAATCTAAAACAAAAATCCAGAAAATCACATTGTATGATTTTTAAGTAATTAATTTGCATTTTATTGCATGACATACGTATTTGATCACCTACCAACCAGTAAGAATTCCGGCTCTCACAGACCTGTTCGTTTTTATTTAAGAAGCCCTCATGTTCTCCACTCATTACCTGTATTAACTGCACCTGTTTGAACTCGTTACCTGTATAAAAGACACCTGTCCACACACTCAATCAAACAGACTCCAACCTCTCCACAATGGCCAAGACCAGAGAGCTGTGTAAGGACATCAGGGATAAAATTGTAGACCTGCACAAGGCTGGGATGGGCTACAGGACAATAGGCAAGCAGCTTGGTGAGAAGGCAACAACTGTTGGCGCAATTATTATAAAATGGAAGAAGTTCAAGATGACGGTCAATCATCCTCGGTCTGGGGCTCCATGCAAGATCTCACCTCGTGGGGCATCAATGATCATGAGGAAGGTGAGGGATCAGCCCAGAATTACACGACAGGACCTGGTCAATGACCTGAAGAGAGCTGGGACCACAGTCTCAAAGAAAACACACTACGCCGTCATGGATTAAAATCCTGCAGCGCACGCAAGGTCCCCCTGCTCAAGCCAGCGCATGTCCAGGCCCGTCTGAAGTTTGCCAATGACCATCTGGATGATCCAGAGGAGGAATGGGAGAAGGTAATGTGGTCTGATGAGACAAAAATAGAGCTTTTTGGTCTAAACTCCACTCGCCGTGTTTGGAGGAAGAAGAAGGATGAGTACAACCCCAAGAAGACCATCCCAGCCGTGAAGCATGGAGGTGGAAACATCATTCTTTGGGGATGCTTTTCTGCAAAGGGGACAGGACGACAGCATCGTATTGAGGGGAGGATGGATGGGGCCATGTATCGCGAGATCTTGGCCAACAACCTCCTTCCCTCAGTAAGAGCATTGAAGGTGGGTCGTGACTGGGTCTTCCAGCATGACAACGACCCGAAACACACAGCCAGGGCAACTAAGGAGTGGCTCCGTAAGAAGCATCTCAAGGTCCTGGAGTGGCCTAGCCAGTCTCCAGACCTGAACCCAATAGAACATCTTTGGAGGGAGCTGAAAGTCCGTATTGCCCAGAGACAGCCCTGAAACCTGAAGGATCTGGAGAAGGTCTGTATGGAGGAGTGGGCCAAAATCCCTGCTGCAGTGTGTGCAAACTTGGTCAAGACCTACAGGAAACGTATGATCTCTGTAATTGCAAACAAAGGTTTCTGTACCAAATATTAAGTTCTGCTTTTCTGATGTATCAAATACTTATGTCATGCAATAAAATGAAAATGAATTACTTAAAAATCATACAATGTGATTTTCTGGATTTTTGTTTTAGATTCCGTCTCTCACAGTTGAAGTGTACCTATGATAAAAATTACAGACCTCTACATGCTTTGTAAGTAGGAAAACCTGCAAAAATTGGCAGTGTATCAAATACTTGTTCTCCCCACTGTATGACATCATGCATTAGTCAAACAAAGATTAACCACTTCAAATCATATAACATTTTATTGGTCACATATAATAAACTTTGATGTAATACTACAATCATCAACTTAAGTACATTTTCACACAGTCAATGTTTTCAAAGTAGTTTTGATCATATGATCTATTTAAGTAAAAAAGCAGACTTGGCTGGCAGCCATTCTTTGTAAAATGGGAAACAGTGCACTCACAGCGGTCATTGGTTTCACTACACTCTGGTCTCCTCCTCCAATCACATGGCAAGCTTTTACTCAGACTCCCTCAAACTTTGAGTTCTCCTGAACCAATTCAGCTAATGCAATGGTACTGCAATGGGTCATGGTGAAAATGATACCTCTCACCTTCTCTCTAAATGTAAACTCTTGCAGGATTTTGGTTCTCAACTTAGAGAGGCTATTATATTCATACTGGGGAAGCTTAGCCAACTCCTGCAGTTTCACTTTGCTATCTGCAAGAAAGTATATTTAGAAGAAAGCCATGCAAAATAGTTAAACTCCCAGATATCTATGTAGGGCTACATTACGGACAAAGAACACTAGATATACAGTATGTGTCACGCCCTGGCTCTGGGGACACTGTTATGTTGAGCCAGGGTGTGTAATTCTATGTATTCTATTGCTATGTTGGGAGTTCTAGTTTGTATTTCTATGTTGGCCTGAGTGACTCCCAATCAGAGGCAACGAGTGTCAGCTGGTTGTCTCTGATTGGGAGACATATTTAAACTGTCTGTCTTTCCCTTTGTGTTTGTGGTTTCTTGTTCTTATTTGGTTTGTGTTCAACTGTAGACATCACGTTATCGTCTGTTGTTTTGATCGTGTGATCATTCGCTAAATAAATATGTTCACCTTCAACGCTGCGCATTGGTCCTCCTCCTTAGACGATCGTGACAGAAGAAACCACCAAAACTGGACCAAGCAGCGTGAAGAGGAGAGAGGAAGGACTTGGGATCAATGGAGTAGGGGTCTCGACTGGGCTAAGCCAAGTGAAGAGCAGAGAGGTTGGAATTGGGAGCAGTGGAGTGAGAGTTGGGCGAGAACCATGGAGGCCTGGTCCACGGGGGAGAGACAAGCCCAGAAAATTTTTAGGGGGGGCTCACGACGGGGCAGCAGGAGGCCGCGATGGAGCGGTCCAGCGGGTTGGCAGAGGAGGCCGCCAGGTTAAGGGGGCCACTGGTCACTAAGGGGAAGGAAAGTGTGGAGGCACGGCGAGAGGTACTGGGGTGTGTTGCCAGTCCGGTCCGGCCCGTTCCTGATCCCCGCGTAGGGCCAGGGGTGTGTGTCCCCAGTGCGGTCCGGTCTGTTCCTGTTCCTCGCATCGAGCCTGTGGTGCGCGTCGCCAGCCCGGTCCGGCCTGTTCCTGCTCCCCGCATCGAGCCTGTGGTACGCTTCGCCAGCCCGGTCCGGTCCGTTCCTGCTCCCCGCACCAAGTCAGTAGTGCGCTTCGTCAGCCCTGTCCGGCCCGCTCCTGCTCCCCGCACCAGGTCAGTGGTGCGCTTCGTCAGCCCGGCACGGCCCGTTCCTGCTCCCCGCACCAAGTCAGTGGTGCGCTTCGTCAGCCCGGTCCGGCCCGCTCCTGCTCCCCGCACCAAGTCAGTGGTGCGTTTCGTCAGCCCAGCTCGGCCCGTTCCTGCTCCACGCACCAAGTCAGTGGTGCGCTTCGTCGGCCCGGCTCGGCCCGTTCCTGCTCCCCGCACCAAGTCTACGGTGCGTGTCGCCAGCTCGGCCCGGCCTGTTCCTGCTCCCCGCACCAAGTCAGTGGTGCGTTTCGTCAGCCCTGTCCGGCCCGTTCCTGCTCCCCACACCAAGCCAGTGGTGTGCGTCGTCAGTCCAGCACGGCCCGTGCCTGTTCCCCACACCAAGCCAGTGGTGTGCGTCGTCGGTCCGGCACGGCCCGTGCCTGTTCCACTGGTGCCTGGTCCGGCACCGGTCAGATGCGTTACGCCGGAGCTAGAGCAATCCGCTCCATCAGTGTGCAGTCCAGCTCCGGCCAGCGGGGCCAGACCGGACCAGGGGTACTTTGGGGGGTTGGAGAGGGAGTGGGGATCAGGCCCGGAGCCGGATCCGCCGCCAAGGCGGAGTGCCCACCCGGTCCCACCCCTGTGGTATTTAGTTGGCGCGGTCGGAGTCCGCGCCTTTAGGGGGGGGTACTGTCACGCCCTGGCTCTGGGGACACTGTTATGTTGAGCCAGGGTGTGTAATTCTATGTATTCTATTGCTATGTTGGGAGTTCTAGTTTGTATTTCTATGTTGGCCTGAGTGACTCCCAATCAGAGGCAACGAGTGTCAGCTGGTTGTCTCTGATTGGGAGCCATATTTAAACTGTCTGTCTTTCCCTTTGTGTTTGTGGTTTCTTGTTCTTATTTGGTTTGTGTTCAACCGTAGACATCACGTTATCGTCTGTTGTTTTGATCGTGTGATCATTCGCTAAATAAATATGTTCACCTTCAACGCTGCGCATTGGTCCTCCTCCTTAGACGATCGTGACAGAATGCTACCTTTAAAGAGTGTGAAGAGGAATCTCTCTGTGTCGGTCTTAATGATGGCCACCTCGCTCTCAGGGGTCACTTTCTTCTTCAGCTCCTCCTAAAAGTATTTGTCCAGGAAGCTGAAGGCATCACACATGCGGATGGTTTTGCCTAGGTACAGGGCCTCATTGTACTGCCGTAGATGCTCAGCACAAACTTTCACCTTCTGATTCTCCTGTTTTGCAGCAGTAGGAAAACATAGATAATTGTTTAGGAATGTACATTTGGGGTATAACAGGGTGTCATGACACTTGGTATGAAAATGGTTGAAAAATAACTTGATTGTGCCTCTTATCAGTAGCCCTCAAGTACAGTAGAACATGAACGTGTTATCATCATTTTGTTCTTTCTGGACAACCCACTGCTCATAGTTCTGGGTGCCTAGGTCGCAGGTAGGGTTCAGCTCAACATGGGTGTGGATGGCATTCATGATTCCTTTGATAACATTGCCAAAGGGATCCTGACAAGACATAATTATACAGATTTAAGTACATAAATATACAGAAGTCTGCACTGTTACACACTACAAAAACTCAGAGGATTATGTGGATTTTCATGATAGTAATTAGTAATATTAATTAAATACATCTCTTAATTATTTTAAATTATATGAATAATATCTATACATCTCTCTCTCTACTGGAAATAAAAAGAGTAACTATTTTCTCTGGTCAGCAGTGGCAATGTTTTTGTGTGGTTCTTTTTTGTTTTCCCTGAGGTTTACTGTCATAATTTTATATGAGTCCAAGTTTGCACAGATCTACAAAAGACAAAACATGAGTTGAATGAATGAGCAAAAACATCAAAACTAATATGATAAGTTTTCAGATATATCAGAAACCATCTAACTCTGTAATAAAGATTAGCAATGCAATACTTCCAAAGTAGTGTTCCGTTAAATCAACCACATAGGTTAGTGATAAAATAAAACAACAATAACAACTTTTTCGTCACCACTTCAGTGTGACCTGTAAAGAGTTAAAATAAAAAGCTGTTTCCAACATTTTCCTGTGTGGTGAAAGTATGAGAGGCATGGTAAGAGTTATGGCTGCCTGGAGTGCGGGGGCCATGTGGAACATTGGAAACAGCTTGGCTGAGCAGAGGTTTGCACTGAACAGTGTACTAACTGAATGAGGGAGGGACTGAGGGAGGGTGGGGAAGTACTTGACCGGGAGGGAGGAAATTGTTCAATAAACAGAGGGAGGGAAAGAATGAGAATAATGAGTGTGTATGTGTCTAGAGAGAGAGAAAGAGGGAGAAAAAAATAGTTGTAGCCTAGTAGAGCATGTTATTTACTTGTAGAATGTGCTCCTTGGCTTTCTCCATTTTCTTGGCTCCCCCAACGCCGGGTGAGACGGTCAAGCCCAGGATCTGTGGGATGGCCACTGTATCCTTCTGCTCTTTCTTTAATGTGGCGTTCTTGTGCTTCTGCTTCAGGTAACGGATCGTAATGTAGTTGTACACTCTTAGAAAAAAAGGTGCTAAGTAGAACCATATAGGGTTCTTTGGTTTGTTCCCATTGGGGAACCCTTTTTAGTGCTAGGTAGAACCCTTTGCAGAGGGTTCTCCCTAGAACCCTTTATGTAGGATTCTTCATAGAAACCCCTGTATATGGTTCTAACTAGAACAGTCTATGAAGGGTTATGCCTAGGACCCTCTATGAAGGGTTCTACAAATAACAACTTTATCATCTTAAGATTATTCCTAGAACTCTCTATGAAGGGTTCCACCAGCCTTATTAGCCTTTAAAATGAAATTATATATGACAATACATTACATACACTACCTTCAGAAAGTATTTTCAAATTTTTGTGAGACAAGGTGGGATTAAAATGGATTTAATTGTCATTTATTCGTCAACGATCTACACAAAATACTCTGTAATGTCAAAGTGGAAGACAAATTGTAAAATATGTAAGAACTTTATGAAAAATAAAACACTTATATATCTTGATTCCATAAGTATTCAACCCCCTGAGTTAATACATGTTAGAATTACCTTTGGCAGCGATTACAGCTATTCAATGTCTGCTTTTTATTATTTTTACCCATCTACCAATAGGTGCCTTTCTTTGCAAGGCATTGGAAAACCTTCCAGATAATTGTATTGTATGTATGGGGTACAAAGATGAAGTAGTCAAAATCATGTTAAACACACCGGGCCGGCAGGTAGCTTAGTGGGTAAGAGCGTTGTGCCAGTAACCGAAAGGTCGCTGGTTCTAATCCCCAAGCTGACTAGGTGAAAAATCTGTCGATGTGCCCTTAAGCAAGGCACTTAACCCTAATTGCTCCTGTAAGTCGCTCTGGATAAGAGCGTCTGCTAAATGACGTAAATGTAATTGCACACAGAGTGAGTGCATGCAACTTATAATGTGACTTGTTAAGCACATTTTTACTACTGAATTTATTTAGGCTTGAATACTTATTGACTTAAGACATTTCAGTTTTTTAAAATTCATTTGTAAAAATTTCTTAAAACATAATTTCTGTTTGACATTATGGGGTATTGTGTGTAGGCCAGTGACCAAAATTCTGAATTTAATCATTTTAAAATTCAGCCTGTAACACAACAACATTTGGAAAAAGTCAAGGGGTGTAATTACTTCCTGAAGGCACTGAATATCATAAGACCTTTCTTTGATGACCTAGTTTTACCCTAACACAGTGGTGTTAGGAAACTCCTGGTTTACAGGCCACATCAGGCCTGCAAGTCACATTATGTTGGCTTGCAAAGTGATGTTTAATTCTTATTGGAATCGAGCCAGAGTTAGGATGTCCAACAAGTAGAATATTTTATCACCCGCAACCTGCATTCAGAATGACTGTAAGGGTAGGGAAGATTGAATACTGAGACTACCTCAATCATCTAAACTGGAACAACCATCTCAGTAATGGGTGCAATAAGTCCAACTACTAACAGAGTGGATTAGTTTAGAAACATATATATGCTATTTATCTTTGTGTAGCATAAAATGAATCAATCAAAACACAGATATTAAAACAAACAATTCTCAAAATCATCCTGCAATAGAGCATGCTGGGAAATATAATATATGGTTCTATGTAGAATCCTTCTTGCCTTCCAAAGAAATGAAAGAAACCTTTTTTCCAACAACAGTTCTTAGGATGTTAAAGGTTCTAGTAAAACACTTTGCCTTACAAATAACCATTGTCTTCCAAAAAAGGGGTTCTTCAGATCAAAATGGTTGTTGGTAGAACCCTATCCCTCTGCAAAGAACCCTCTTGAAACCCTTTTTTCTACAGGTGTAGACTCCTCCCTTCTGTGTGTGATGGCACTCATCGATCTCAATCAGTGACAAATCTACACAACAGAAATACGGTGCAAAACACAAGTCAACAATCAAGTCAACAAAAAGACAATGAAACGTATTGGTTTAACATAAGAACATGTATCATATAATGGATATACTGTAGGTCACAGCTGGTGTACATTTAAAATCATAAACATGCCTGCTATTACTCATACAACAGTCTAAAACCGCCTGACCCTCATAGACTGTAGAAAAGCATCTGCTGAGGCCAGCTTGGTCTGCTGATCACCTTTTTCTCCTCTAAAGTCTGATTTTCCCATTACATTGTACCGTGGGTCTGGTTACATTGCTGTAGGGTTCCTGGGAACAAGAGTTTGCTCTAGCTTTAACACCGGTATTCAACATCTCCTTTGTTTTCTCTCCCATAATGCTAGTGTTGTAAATATAGAAGTGGCTTATTGACACCCACAAATTACAGTCTTCCTCCCTGCCTCTGTGTCTGAGGTACTCCCACTAACCACCACTTTTCTAGGAAGTCTACGATGCAGTTTAAACCACACTGCATGACTGCTGTGGTGCTAGAGGCCATTTCTCAGAAAGGGGTTTAAATGTGCATTTCACAGCAATGAGAGATGTGTGATGAGGTAAGAACCTTCACAAATATAACTTTAAACAGGAGTGCTACAAATCACCTCCCCAGAGGGGCATAGGAGTCTGGAGTGGAACATTCAGTCTGATGCAATGACAGAGGCTCTCTTGTGAATTTGATAAGGCACACACTGATGGCTTGAACAGACGTGTGGCCTGGAAAGCAGCAGAAAAAATCGAACCCTCTCAGGTGTTTCAACAAACAGCATATGTTACACTGAGGGATGTTACACCTTGGACTGGCGAGTGCCAGCAAGAGCAAGCAGGAGAGCTGGAAGCAACTGACTGACAAGAACCTGTCAGATTAATTCTCAGAGGAAACGCACTCCAGTTTACTTTCCATTCCAATTCCAAACCCCGGTAACTTCCACAGCTGTGAGCAGCAAACTGACTTTGGACTAAGGCAACGCATTGGCTGAGATAAAACACACAGTCGAAGATTTGCATGAACATGCATAGCTACCTGTAGATTTGTCATTAACATTACTACTATCATCACTTACATTGTACTAATCAAGAAACTCCAATGCATGGAAACTATGTCAAACCTGAAAGTTGAATCCCGTCATCATCTCCGCTGTGAGGCCTTTCCAAGTAGTTCTCCAGAATCTGGGCCGTACAGATGATGACATCATTTTTCTGGACAATCTCTATGAAGGAGATTTTGAGCTGGGAGTTGCCACTCTCCACATTGTATTTGTGTTTCAGGAACTTCCAGAACTCAGTGAAGTAGTCCTGCGCCACCAGGGGCACCTGAAGGAGAACACATTATTAAAAAGACTAAAGATGTGAGGGTCTGCCTCTAAAAACAATGATATACTGGATTTCTCACTGTCATGTTTGAAAATGCCACTATTTATTAACAGAGATCATCAAAATATTGTTTAGACTAGACTGTTAACACAAAAGTGATTCACTTTGTTTGAGGGAGGATTTCAAATTGGCCGTGCAACAAGTAGGTTTATTGGTTTTCAATTTGGGGAGGTACTCGGACGGGAAAACACTACCTTTCCTCACAGAAACAGCACTAGGAAACTACTTTAATGAAGATGCATTTCATATGGTGGGTTTTATTGAATCATATTTCTCAAATATGGTGTATTTTATACTTTTAACATAGAATTTGTGGAGAGTAGAGAGACAAAAATGGTGTCTTGCCCAGTACTGTACTGAGCTAGCAGTTCTTTGTGATCCATATAGCTATACTACAATACACACGCATACAAATCAAATGACATTTTATTTGTCACATGCGCCGAATACAACAGCAGAATACAACCTTACAGTGAAATACTTACTTACAAGCCCTTAACCAACAATGCAGTTTTAAGAAAGAATACCAACAACAACAAAAAAACAATATAAAATAATACAAAATAAAAGTAAAAAATAATTAAAGAGCAGCAGTAAAAATAACAATAGCGAGGCTATATACAGGGGGTACCGATACCGAGTCAATGTGCGGGGGCAGCGGTTAGTCAAGGTAATTTAGGTAATATGTACAGTGATGGAAAAATTTATTTGATCCCCTGCTGATTTTGTACGTTTGCCC